GCCGCGCCCCTACCACGGCCCTGCGGCAGCGCCGGGCCGTGAGCGGGTGAGCACGGGGCAGGAGTTGGTGCCTGCCGCCAAACTTGGCGCTTTGCACGGTGAATGCGTCAGGGCGGTGCCAGCAGGGCTTGTGGGTTGGTTCCTGAACGGTCGCGTTCAGCCCGGCTGTTGGTCTTCTGCTCTGTCAGCAATTGCATGTCCCCGTCTGGAGAAGGCCTTGTCTCCTGCTGGGATGACTGGGGAACACCGGGGATCTCAAGGATGTTCCTGTGGTTGGTTTCCAGTTGCAGACTAAGCAAAAAAAAAAAAAAAATCTTGTGAGAAGAGGGCAATATAGCTGTTTCCAATGAATTTTAGATTTTATTAGGTTATACCCAACTGTTGAACTACTTAATGTTTGTAGATATTTCTGGATGTAGCTTCTGCATTGTTGGATTTGTCCCACAGCATGAATTTGGCCGTCACATCGCTGATTCTAGCAACAGGGAGATGATGCTGTGATCCTGCTACCTACCTGTGTTACTCTTAATAACTTTTGAATTTGTTGATCCTCTTTGTAGAGGAGCACAGATGTCACGTACAACTTTGTATGAGTTCTAGTAGAATAAATGGTTAAACAGTTGCATAGATGAGAGAGCTCCTAATTTATAATGCTTTTCCACAATTAAGTTTTTACTCAGCTCTTACATGTTCCATTTGGCAATGCCTGGGTTACCATCATTGTTGTAGTATCAACAGGAGGTGCTGTGTTCCTCCTGCAGCTGACAGAACAACACTTTCATTTTGCAGTGGATGGGGTTATCTAAGTAATTGTATGTATACACATGCAGATATTTTATAGCCGCCTGTACCAAAGTGCTCATGGAACGTGTTCTGGCAACCTGCAGTGGCTCCCTGGGCTGGGTTTTGATGTCCTGTTTTAATGTCCAGCCTATTTAGTTATATGCTCAGTAATCCGGACTGTATCGACAAATCTCTTTAGCAAACTGTAGTTTTATTTTGTTTTCCATTTCTATACTAGTTAGTGTAAACATTGATCTGTAGTATATGTTAGATCTGCTAGAGTCTTCATAATATGATATCGTTTTGTGATTGGCTAAAGATGGCTGCAACTCTTACTTCAAAATTAATATAAAGCTTAAATTTATGCATAGATTTCTTTTTCATCACAGAGTAGACTATATCTTGTATTTTAATGAAAATCATAGTTTCTTTTTTCAGTTGTGTAAAATAAGTCTTCCAAAATCTTGGAAAGACCATTGTCTGGGACCCCCATGGTCCTGCCAAAAAAAAAAAAAAAAAAAAAAAAAAAAAAAAAAAAAAAAAAAAAAAAAAAAAAAAAATACATCTCCTGTAGACATTTGATTTCCTGCAGAGTATGTAACAGGACTATCTGATGGGAGGATGGAGCAAAAGGACTAAGAGGATAGCTGTAATCCAAGAGTCTACACTTAATGCATTTAGAAACAAAATAGGAGAAGAAAAGATGGTTTTATGACTAAGGCAGAAAAGCAGCGTAGAGATGGAGGCTCTATTTTTGATCTCCATTAACTGCCAATGTGGCCTTAAAGCAAATTACATCTCAGTACTTTTTGAGACGGTCTCTAATGGAGAGGCTGAAACCTAAAATGGGTATGGTTTTTCTAACTTGTGTCACCAGGTCTAGTAAAAGATATTATTATTCTTTTTAAGCCTGGTTTCGTAATGGCTCTGTCATCACAGCTTACACTTCTCTCCAGCATACATCAGAAGCGCTTAACTGAGGGATGCATATCTTCAGAAAAAATTTTTGGTGCAATTGAAAAAAATTTTTGTTGTTGTTGCTTGTGTTTGGCTCTTTCAGTTATTTCCAGACTTTACTTCAGTTCTAAAAAAGAGTTTAGGGCTTTGTTTATTCAAAGTTGAGATTTGAAATGATGGAGCATTTTTTAAAAGAAGAAAAGGGTTGGGAGGGGAACTTGTTTTCTGCTTTCTTGCTTTGAATAAAAACGATATGTGGTAAAACTGTGAAATCTACAAGCTCTGCTAGGGATTGCAGACTACGAAACCACATTTGTCTCCAAAAGTCGGTAAGAACCTGCTTTTGACTGCTGTCACAGACAGTGTACCAATCTCTGATATACTTTTGATATGATCCAGTGTGCCCAGACTTTAAAATTTGACAGCATAAAGCTTATATTGCTTCTGGGGTGCTCCACTCACTAAGTTACTGGAAATCAAACTGCAATAATTTTATTATCAGTTTTACGTGCCAAGTATTTTTTATATATCGACATAACTAAGATTACTAGTAGACAAATCATTTACTATTTTTTTTATTTGAATCTAGTTTTCATCAAAATAAAGCTCAGCAGAATAAGAGTGTCTTCCTTAGAAGAACTCCATCATTCACTGTTCTGATGAATGAAAATGGAAACTAAAGGTATAAATCGTGAGCCCTGCAATTGTGTATAACTATTTGGTATATGTAATTACTTGGCAAAAAGTTTTACCAAATAACGGTGAGAAGCAGCTTTTCTTCAGAGAAAAAGCTAAGCATCTAATGGCAAAGCAAGATTAAAACTGATGATTAATTCAGTTTTCTGCCTGATTAGTTAGGTTTTTTAATCTGCTTTTTTCCCCTCCCTTGTTTTATCAGATGACTGCAGCTTTTTCTTTTTATATGGTTCATGCACTCCCACAGTTCCATTATAACCCACAAAGTGTGGTTTCTCAAAATGAGTGGTTTTCTGCCTCTTCAATGTCTAAGTACGCTATATGAATGTTGTGCAAACGTGCATAATCTGTGTGAATTCTAGCATGTGTGATTCTTTGGTGTTTTTTAAAACTTTGACAACAACCGGAGCAGGTCCTCCAACTGCAGTGAAAATGAGACAACTGCAGAGTAATGGATAATGAGTTAAAGCGTGAGATGCTGCCTCTCATGAAATGAGGGCTGGGTGATGTGACTATGGATCATGATAAGAAGTAAGGGGCAACAGTAATAGCTGCAAAACACTTCAGTACAGAAAAGTTATGCTTTTGAAAGGAACCTTAGTAGACTTCATCAGTATCCTGAGTTATGTGCCTGTAATAAACAGGATCTCAGGGGTGTAGTTGAGAGCCATTGTTTGCCAGCGAAGTTATCCAGTTCTTACTTGTTCTTTGCAGAGTTGACCTATATTTACCAATTTGGAATATACAGTAAGTTTACCCTTTGTTTAGCAGGCTATATGTTCAAGTGGTTAATCATTTTCCCCCTATCGTATTGTTTGAGTTCATAAACAGGGATATCTTTCAATAAGTATAAGTATGGCTTAATTTCTGAAAATACTGCACTAGCTTTAGTTTAGGGACGATTGGATGATGCTTATACCCTTGGAAATGAACTGCATGGAAGGATGCTTTCCCTGATAGCTAGCTATTTGGCACAGTTGCAGTGCCAACCTTGATTCCTGGTGGTGCAGCCTACGTTCCAGTTGTTTAAAAGCATGCAGCAGCTGGCCAGCAACATAGGGGACAAAAACCAAACCAAACCAAAAAATTTCTTGCTTGTGCCAGTGAAAGATAATTCTGGAGCGTGTATTTGGCACGTTTGAGGGATTGTGGAGATACCACAAGACTGGGCTGAATTTTGGTATACTAGGTATTCCTATTACGTGTTTTGTGTGTGTGTGTGTGTTTTTTTTTTTTTTAAAAAGACTTACAAAGCCCAGGGAGATACAGAACTGGCAGGAGAGAAGGGACAGTAGACAGTCTGTTGGCTAACTGCAGAGCTGTGCAACAAACACAAGGGCACTTAGAGCTGTGCCCTGAGGTGGAATCTGGCTGAGGCTGGCCTAATAAAGCACACCGATGCTCTGCGAGTGTGTGTGCTGCTTTGTGCTCCTATAATGCTTCTTGAATGAGCAGTACTTGGTCCATATTGTAATTTCCAGTTAGTTGTTAACAGGTTTTGTGAGGCTGACCAGAGACTACTGATTTGGAGATTTCATGCCTGTTAGCAAAGGTACGGTGAGACTTGATTTCCATAAGGCAAAATATAACTTTTGGAAATAAAAATCTTAAACCAGTGCCAAATAATGACTGCAAATGGATTAGTCACAAGCCTAATACAGTGTGCATATAAATA